TTTTTTTTCCGGGCAGTAATGAGGTCTGGTTGGTGTAGTAGGTGGTGATTCTATTGTGGGAGTACGTATTTTAGAACAAGTGCAATTTTAATAGATTCAGGCTAAGTTTTGACAGTGACATGGTTTATGCCAGGTCAAAATTTGTGAATCATGCGGGAAGCCTAGTCTGAAGTTGACTATCTTTTGACATCATATAGCATTACATAAAGATGTGGAGTTAAATATGTTTTAATGCAATTATTATAATAAGTCCTTGTTTTTAAAAAGGTAATGATGGCTAATTTTACCAGACCATGGATGCATTAGAGTTCTTTATTCCATGGATAACATGCTTTTCTGCATAGGGTAATATGGGTATTCAGATTTGACTGTTTCAGTTGTCCTGAGATTTTTTTTTTCATTGATTAGCAGTTCAGGCATCTACTTAACTGCTTTAAAGCTTGGATAGATGATAGAACTCCTTCGGTGACTTGAAAACGTATTAACATATTCAGATCTTCAGGTTATGTATCTCTTCAAAAGAGAGATGAACCAGTTGGCATAAGATGGTACCATATGGAAGGTAAGTGGACTCACAGATAACACCTAGTCCGTGTTATTTCCTAGACTGCCTTTAATTATTTTAGGGGTTGAAGAGAATTTTTCCAGAATAATTTTCCCTTAGTAGTCCTAGATTTTATTCTATCTTTTGCCATTCCAAGAAGGTTCCATAGCTTAGGGCAGAGGAATGGGGAGGGATGAGCTGGTCCTTTCCGGCTCATAATTTTTGTATGTTTTACAAGACAGTGCTTTCAAAATTCTAATAGAATTGTATGTGCAACTGGAACTAAGGATAACAATATACCAATTTACCAATCTGACCAGTAATCAATTGAATTGAAGCCCTTTATTATATCACAATTGTGTTGAAAGGAGTGTGATTTATGTATTAAATTTTTTTACAGTTTGAATTTTAAAGTAATCCACAGACATATGTTGTTACTTTTGTGAAGATTTTGATAAAAACCAGGTCAGATGGTCCTTCCAGAACAGTGACCTAATCAAGTATGTATCAGACAACAGGGAACCACTGGAATGTTAATGGAAAATTGTTTACACTGGGGTGGTCTATGCTAGATGGAGTAGAAATTGAAAGCTAATAGCTTATTTTTAGTTAAGAATAATCTAAGACTAATTTTAGTTTAGGAAATCTAGAAATCGAAAAATTTTAGGACAGTTTGGAGGAGACCCGAATGGTCAGAAGCAAGTCTGGGGTAAAGGGTAATTAGTGTAAATTCCAGACCAGAAATATATGAATAGAAATCTGCAGGATATTGCAGAAACTGATAAAGACTAAGCTCTCAGCTTTGACGGCATTCATGTAAGAAGACTCTACAGTTCACATGACAAAAACAGGAGGAGAATCAGTTGAGTCAACATTAAAGATTTGAAATCAAGGTGTAATTTCTCTGGATTTGAATCACTGCAAAGTGACAGTATTGGAAATTGGTTGTTTTGCTGAATGTTTTAAAATTTTTAAAATTATGTTCTAAATACAAGTAACTGTTTTTGTATTTTGTGCAATAAATTTTTGTTCTGTTGTTAAAGAAACTCTGCAGCCTCATGTGACTATGTTTCAGCAATGACCATATTAACCAAAATTTTTAAAAAGTGTGACTTTCAGGCCAGATTTCGCTGTATGATCGAACTCATCAGTAGTACTATCACCTGGTATCATAACACAAATAAGAGTGTGGCATTTAAATAGCATTGGTCAGATTGTAACAGTAAACAATTCTAATTTCAATATTTCTGAAGGGAGGTAATTGCATTTGACAGTGTACAATAAGAAGTGCTCAAAAGTAAGGGAACTGAACAATTTACTTACTGAACTATTGAAGTAAAAGCCTCATTAAGGCACAATCACAGAATCATATAATCCCTACAGTTTGGAAGCAAGCCATTAGGTCCATTGAGTCCACACCGACTCTCCGAAGAGCATCCCATCCAGACCCACCCCTCTATCTTATCCATGAAACCCTGCATTTCCCATGGATAACCCAACTAGCCTGCACATCCCTGGACACTATGGGCAATTAAGCATGGCCAATCCACCTAACCTGCACATTTCCGGAGAGTGAGAGGAAACCAGAGCACTCATGCAGACACAGGGAGAATGTGTAAACTCCACACAGACAGTCACCCAGGGGTAGAATTGTTCCTGGCGCTGTGAGGCAGCAGTGCTAACCACTGAGCCATCGTGTCGCCCTCGGTGGCACAAGAAGTATCAGATGTCATTGTATATTTTCAATTATTACTAAACTGCACTGACTTTCCTTGGCTAAATAGATCAAGTTTCAAATTCTAATTTTTATTTTCATATCTGTCATAATCTCCATCCTAATTCTGAGATCTTCTCCAGCTGTGTGCTTATGTACCCATTATCCACATTTTTTGCTACTGGGCTTCTTCAAATGCCTGCTATCTCTGCTCAACCATTGGTCCCTATGTTCCATCCTCAGGAATTCTTTCTAAAACTCTGCCATCTCATCAGTATCTTAAAAACTCCTGATGAAACCAAGCTTCCCTCTCTTCAACTATGATTCCCTTTTGTCTCCTGTTTGGCTTCTTCTTTTCCTGGAAAGTACTGCATGGAATTATATATTTTGTATTGCAGAAGAAGAAGAAAGAATTTGGCATTAAGTTTAACAATCCATTCAACAGTTTCAGATGAGGTAGAATAAATGATTGAAACATCAACAAGAATGGAGCTCTAAGGATGGGAATTCAGTACGTGAGCAATAGTCTGATTTGGGTGGCCACAGTCACAATTTGAGCTGTTCTTCATGCAGCCACATCTTCCCTGACCCATTTGTTTCTGCGGAACATTGAAACTTGGAACTTTGCTACTCTGATCAGTTACCAAGATGTGATTTATAATGTCTGTAGTCAACTAGAAAGTATACCATTGAGAGGTAGCGCTGTCATTAATTTGTAGGGTTTCAAGTTTTGCCAGTAGGGACTTAGATGCATCCAGAAATGTTTTACAATGTTATGAATGTGAACTATGGAAAATTATCATAATTTGAACTGTCTCCTTAATTTAAGGTAAAATGAAGCTGAAGGCCGGGGTGGGGGGTGTGCGAGTGACCCACTCCAAATTCTGCGTAGCTTGCTTGACATAGTGAATGCTGACTTATTGAATGCTGACACAAGATATTCACACCTGTAGACAATGGTATGAAAAATTGTACTGACTGTGAATAGATTGGTGGTCTCCACTCTCACAGAGAGGTATTATGAATGCTTTCCAAGCAGTTATACTTTACTCTGTTTAATTCTAAGATAGAATGAAATGGGGTGTTAGAGGATAACTAATGATCATTTCTACCTAGATACAAAGTCCATGTGATTCGTATACCCATGGGGATAGATGTTGCAAAGGGTCAAATCCATTGAAAGACACTGAAGTATTAGGCTATAAAGATTCTAAGCTATCATTGAATGTCACTGACACAAGTTAGTCTCCAAGAATCTGAGAGGCAGACAGAAGAAGACAGAGGTAGACAGCCCTTCACCTGAAGCAGTGAAATTGCTCACTTCATTGCTCAATCCATAGAATGTGCATTGCTGTACATGTTCAGATTGGAGGGTTTTGAGTTTGTGAGGATTTAGAATTTAGAGTACAAGTAGCTTGCTGAAGGCTGTTTAGTCAATGCTGTTTTAGTTTGTTAGTTATAGCAAACAACTGTTAATATGAAATTGAAAGAATCAGACACAATCAGTCACTGGAAATTCATTTTTTTCGAAAGCTATCAGTCGCTATGGGGGTCATACAATAAATGTATGTTGTTGTGGATAAAGTGAACTCAATTATACAGTGGAATATGACAGCAATAATTAAAATTAGTGAAAAAAAAACTTATAGCAAATCTTATAGAAAAGTTCCTACTCAAAGAACGACAAATGTTTGGAATCATCTACCAGATAAAATCAGAGAAAGTCAATATGCAGATTAACTGAGACGTTGATCAGTTAAAATAGATCATAAAATTTACATTGATAGCAAAAATAAGTTCTATTCCATACCAACTGCACTCTCCCTCTACACAGGCTTTAAAGCCCATATGCCATTCTGTCTGTTGAGTGAGTGAGAAAGCTCTTCATGTCCTTGATGCTTTCTCATGTTAATGACTCACACTCCCAATCCTTTGCGTTTACTGATTTATTACAGAATAGCTTATACCTTTTAACCATTTCCTGTAAAATGCTATATTCAACAGAATGCAATTTTTGTAAAAAGTGATCCTTTGAAATAGGAGAGTATGGGCTGGAATTTCTGAGGGGTTCTGCTATTTTCCTCCTATAACTTTTGAGGAAGAACTACGAAAATTCTGCAGTGTAAATGCTGATAATTCAATGTTGTTGCACCCATTGCTTTAATGACTAAGGTTTTGGTCAGCCATTAAAATAAAGGCATTCAACTTCTCCAAGAGGGTTTCTAAAACCCTATATTACAATTACTTCCCTGCCAAAATGATCTCTTATTGCTTCAAAACTGATTTCCACTTTCAAACTTTGGTTGCTAAGTGTAGACTAGCTAATTAACATGAAAGATAAACAACAAAATAAAAGAGAAAATGATAACCAGGGTGTACAAAATATATTCTTAAATGTCCATTCAGCTGATCCCCTTGTGGAGGTTGGCAATAACTGTGACTATTGTTTCTGAAGTGTACAGAATTTGGTTGCTATGTGTCGTTTTACAAATACTTTCCAGTCTGGAATTCAAAGCTGTCATGAATCTATTCTAAATAGGGAGAATGAGACTTTACTTCTGGAAAGTAATATTCAATTAGTATGAACAATTAGTACAAACAGAATAAATCTTATTGTATAAAGTAACCATAGTAGTAATACTGCATTCTGTATCTGATTAAAAGAAATAGGTTTCTGCCCTACAACAATTAGGCATTATAGAAAATATTTGAACAGTAAATTCATCAACAAAATAACACTACCTGTTCAGGCTTCAAACCAGGAGGAACCCAAGCATATTCCTCCAAAGCACAGCCAGAATCATCATCAGATGTGGAGTTCCTCTGAAAATCATACATAAGTTTATTCACTGTCTTCTCCATTTCTAAAGGCATCACTGTCACGATGTGTTCCTCACGTGGGCACTTGCAGTGAAGACAGATCTTTCTGTGAAAAGTAAAATAGCCATTTGTAAGCTCACTGCATTTGGGAAACTACTGAAACGATCACTGTCAAGCTGCAAGGCTTGAATACTTAACTATAAACACATATTTGGCAACCAGCCTCTGGCAGTGGCTGACAGCATTCAAGCCAGTTTTATATTCTTGCGTGTGTGCCTTTTGTGGTTTATAGCCCTATACATGTTGCACAACCAGGAAGGTCAGGGACTGTAAGACTAGTCAGGTTGTTAAAGCTGTCACAGCTAAGTTGGCTTTGCTGTCAGGGAAATAGGCTGCCAGGAACAATCAATTCAATTAGCAAAACATTCAAAAGCTAGACTAAAGTAAAAATGTGAAGTGAGTCGCTATTGGAATGCATGCATCAAGTGAAAAATCACAAAGGCACACGAGTTTCAAAACTGATACCCTCCCGGCATAGACATGTTCAATGCTGTTCAATTTCAAAACTATGTTCTTCAAGAATAAAATTAAACAGGGCATAAAATAATCAATCCTGTGGCTTAATAATGAATGTCTGATCAATTAATTTTCAATAAAGACGGGTACTTACAGTAGATATGTCAAAAATTAGCAAAGTAAACTGCAAGAATGGAAAATATATTCCGGCTTTAATATTCTTTTATCAGATATCTTCATAGAAGTGAATAATTTATCCTAGTCTATGGACTTATGCTAGATTTTCCCAATTTCCTGCTATTCATTAGATCAAGAACGTACATAGACTCAAACAAGACAATGGGCATCCGGTTTGCATCCACTCAGCATGGGGATGCTTTTTAACACTAGGTTCCTGCCTCTGCAAAACAGAACCCAGTTAAAAAGCTTAATAATCAAAATTAATTAAACCTTTAAAATACACTTCACATCTTCTGCAAATGCTAACAATATGGGTTCCTCTTTTGGCAGGATAAGCATTAAGATGATATTTGCTAAGGAAAGTTTTACGGCTGTGCATGCATGAACATTTCAAATTGACTTCAAATTGCAGCAAGGATGAAATAACATTTGTATGTGGCATTTAAAGCAATGTTTCTTAAAATTAGACCTTTGTAAGAACCTTTTTTTATATCATTTGGAATAATATGAAATACTATTGAATATACAGAAACTGTTATTCAAACTTACTTTGCATGGCTTTCTAACATTACTATATCTATATTTAAAAATGCATTAGAAAGCTAAGAAAAAATCAAAAAGGCATGTTAAATTAAACAAAGAACTGAGGATGCTGGAGATTTGAAACAAAAACAGAAATTGGTGGAGAAACTCAGGAGCTCTGGCAGAATCTATGGGAAGAAAACAGAGTCACATTTCAAGTCTGGTGACTCTATTAGAACTTGAGGTGCTATTGGTGGGGATGACATCACAGAGAAATATTTAGCCCTGAAGGGTCCCGACCCGAAACATCGACTTTCCTGCTCCTCCGATGCTGCCTGACCTGCTGTATTCCTCCAGCTCCACACTGTATTGACTCCGACTCCAGCACCTGCAGTTCTTGCTATCTCCAAATATTCCCTTTCTTGCTAGTGGTACAAGAAAACCCGCAAAACAGACCAGAAGGAGTGACTGGAGAAGGCCCTCGAGATCAGAAGCATATGAGAAGTGAGGAAGAAATGCTTCCATTGTAGGAAATGCTTCAATCGCCTGCTTGGCTAGGTCCAAAGTCAGATACAGGTTGGCATTTGTCCTGATCAGCAGTCACCAGTATACAGAAGAAAATCCTGAGAACACAAGATGTTTCCTGACCATAGGAGGAAGAGAGCACAGCAGTATTGATGATCATAAGCATTGTTTATAATCTTAGCACTATTAGACAGTAAAGTATGAAGATTGTCACCTTATGTCTGATTGGCGTCTAAGAAGGATAGTGCTAGGGAGAGGGTACATTTGGACACTGAGGTGCCCCAATTTGTGTCACTATGCAATGAGACAAACCATCTTGATATTAGAGACGGAGAAATAAGAGTCCAACATAGATAAGATAAAAAGATTTCAACAACTCTAGGTAATCAACCCTGTGCAATGAGCCATCAAGGCACAAGCTGTTATCTCATTAATTTAAGCAAGGAAACCATCTGTTGATTGTGCTAATTTCCCATGAACACCTTTCTGTGTCACCATGGGCCAAATGCAGAATGGAAAGAGCTGACAGACCATCAAAACGTTCTTGAGAATTCATTGGAGTCTGACACATTGGAGTCTGTACCAAGGTAGCTTTCATGCAAATCATTGTTCCTTGCACATCACTTTAAAATAGCAGGAGATGGGGAAAGCAGAGTCACTGTAGTCAGTCCCCTGAGAGGATGGTTGGCAGTACGGCAAAGATGTCTGAAATTACAAAACCTGGAGAATCCGTGAGTCAGATGTATTCCTGAAGTAGTTCCTGAAGTATTGCAGAGTCATTCAATGAGATTGTTGGGTCTATTCACCTCATGTGCTTCAGTGTCATTATGCTTTAAAAGCATGATCTCTTCCTTTGAGACAGTGGCCAACCTCACTGAGAACCATGTGCAATATCACCCAGACTGGAGACAGTAACAGGGAAAGGATTTGCACAGAAAGAATGCCATTGTCTATGGAATTGATTTGTCAGAAAGCCAGATAGCCTGCAGTGAAGCTGTTCTGTACTTGGTGTTTCCCTCTGCCAATCAAGGATGCCAGGAAACGACTAAGGAGGTAACAGATGGTGATGACGGGTCCATGCCACATTCCACGGCTCCTCTGATGGACTGAGTATCTAACTCTTTACATCCTGTTACTGGAGGCAGCCACTGAAGTGATCCTTGGCATCTCTACAGTGAGGCCAACAATCACGGGTATTGTAATCCCACACAGGCACTTTTACCTCAGCAGCAACCCTGCCACTATTGCATAAATGCTGCCTCCTCTACACTTCACATAACTCTGATGAACAGTCATCTAGACTTAAAATGTCAGCTTGCTTTCTTCCCATGGATCCTGTCTGACCCACTGCGATCTCCGCATTTGTTGTTTTCAGCACAGATTCCAGCATCTGCAGTAATTTGCTGGTACACTGGTGAGCATTCTGACTTCAAATCATCATCAGTCACAGAAGGAGTATCTCATAGGAGTGGCCATGATTGGAAGTCACCAGTGGTATTAGTTTGGGGTCTCTTGATGTTTCTGTGGTAAAAATTATAAAACTGTGTGCAATAAAGCACTGGGAATATTGCCACATGATGAAAAGCTGGAAAAAGGAAAATAAGAGGAAGCAAAACAACACAGTATGTTTGAGAAGTGTGGGAGAGATTTTATGGAGCTCATAAGAGCAGGAAAGGTGGCTTATGGAATGCTTTATTTAATTGGGAGGCTAAACTTTAATCACCTGACAATGGGTTGAGATGCAGAGATAAAGTCAATGATGTGTTTGTGCCAGGTGCACACTTGCATGTCATGAATGCATATTTGTATTAAATAGTTTTCAATAAAGACCTATACTTCTGATAAAGTCAGCACCTGGTTCACAATTGCTTAAAGGTAACTTGCACCAACCAGCTTTTTGTAGCTGTGTTTAAGGTAAGTAGTTCTCCACATTCAACTCTGTGGCAGAAGGAGGCAATGCTGAAGGGTTTGTGTTTGGTATAGATAGAATATAATGTGGGAAAATGTTATGTTTTGCATTTTGGCTGGAAGAATATGGAGCTGAATATAATTTAAATGGAGAACTGTAGAAAGCTGCAGAACAAGGGGATTTTGGGGCTCCTGGTGCATATGTTACAAAAAAAAATTGAATCCAAGTTCAGCAGGCAAGAGAGATGGCAAATGGAATGGGATTTTCAAAGGGCTGGGATATAGCCAATACTTTACAAGGTATTAGTTAGACCACACTTTGAATACTGCAAACAGTTTTTGTCCCCTTATCTAAGGAACGATATACTGGCATCAGTGGTATGCAGAGAAGGTTCACAGATCCTGGGTCTGAATGGATTGTCTTATAAAGAGAAGTTGAGTTAGGTTGATTCTATACTCGCTAAATTCATAAGAATGAGAGGTGCACCAATTGAAACATATAAGATTCTGAGAGTGTTTGATGGAATAGATGTTGAGAGATTGTTCCAAACTGTGGGAAAGTACAGGGCCAGAGGGCATAATCTGCAAGTAAAGGGTGACCAAGTTAGAACAGAGATGAGAAGGGATTTCTTCTCCCACAGAGCAGTGAATCTATGGAATTATTTACAGATTAGGGCTATTGAGGCTGAGTCAATAAACACATTCAAGGTTGAGGCAGACATTTTTAATCAGTAAAGGAATCAAAAGTAATGGAGAAAAGGCAGAAAAGTGGAGTTTAGAACGATAAAATCAACCATGATCTTAATGAATTGAGGGGCAGACTCAAAAGGGCCAAATGACCTACTAGTGCTCCTATTTTCTATGTTTCTATTGAATCTATAAAATATTTAAAGTGATGTAGAGGGTAGATGTGGGCAAGATGCTTCTCCTGGTAGAGGAGTGTAGGAACAGGTGGTGCAATTTTAAAAGTAAGGGGGATGCCGTTTAGGGCCAAGATGGAGAGAAATTTGTTTACTCAGAGGGTTGTGAAGGAATTCTTGGAATTCTTTGGAATTCTTTTACTCAGAGAGGTGTGGAAGGTCAGTCTTCAAGTATGCTTAAAGATGGAGAGATTTCTGATTACATGTGATATAAAAGGTTTTGTGGATAAAAGCCTTTAATTGTTTGATCAGCCATGATCAATTTAAATCGTGAGGGCTTGATAAGCTTCATGGCCTAATCCTAGTTGTAAATTAACATAAATTTCAAATATTGCAGAACTTTAAAATGTGTCATAATAAGGCCTGGGTACATTACATAGAAAGCTGCCACCAATCTTTCTTCCTATGCTTGTCTAAGGATATCCTGGTAATTTGCAGTGAAGGATGAACAATAAATATGTCTTAGCTGTTCAATTACAACCACCCAGAACATTCCAAGACTCTTCAGGATTGCCCAGTGCTCTACGCAGTGACT